TCAACAAGTGTGGCACATGAATCCTGTCTCTCTAGCCATAGCTCCTACCACATCTCTCTTATATGCTTCTCTATAGTCGTACAAAAGATATAGCTCTCTTGATTGATGCCACATAAATTTGCACATGGGTTTTCTTCTGTCTGTAATATCCTATTTTTTATATGTAAATACATCTTGCATCTTAAAAACTCTGTCCCTATAGCTTCATCTAAAAAGTTTTCTCTGATCTCCTGTATCAGTTTAAAATCTATAGTTTTTGCTGCTGTAGATTCCTATATGCATTTCCAAAATGTAGAATAGAATTTGTGAACATTCAACTGTAAATATAGCTTTTCTAAAACAACATTGTTGGAAGACAAATAAAAAAATCAGTAATTTCTCTAGAGTCTAACAGGGAAAATAATGAGTCTACTAGAAAAACCTGTAATCTTCAGTTAAGAAATAAGATAGACATGTAAAATTACAAATCGATAACTTGTAGTACATATTGATATAATTAATTAAAAAATTAAAATTGTACAATTCTTGAAAGGTCAGTAGCATTATCTCATTACTACTGATTATTACTATCTTATCAAAAATTTTATCTTTTAAATTATGTAGTTCCCCAAATTAAAACTTCTTAAGTCTATTTTATTTTCCCAATCTCTCTCTCTCTCTCTTTTTTTTTTTTTTTTTTTGAGTCGGGCTCTTGCTCGGTTGCCCAGGCTGGAGTGCAGTGGCACAATCACAACTCATCACAACCTCAATTCTTGGGCTCATGTGTTCTTTCTGCCTCAGCCTCCCTGGTAGCAGGGGCAAAAGGCATGTACCACCACGCCCAGCTAAATTTTTAATTTTTTTGTAAAGATGAGGTCTCACTATGTTGCATAAACCCCAACCTATTTTTTATCATGTTTTGTGACTTCAATAACACCATAAATGAAGGTCCTTCATGGTATTAATAATTAAAAACTATGATATCATAGTCTGAGCCCAAGACTTGAAATTATTTATGGTTTCCTCTAAAATGACATCCTTGATTACAAACCAAGAATATTTACACACATAAGCTAAGTAAATATTCTTCAATTTATTTTCTATATTTGTTGCTGTGGAGTGTGGGGAGAAAGCAAAACAGATTTTGAATTCAGAAATCCTTGTCTTTTAGTTTATCAGCTGTTACTAATTAATTTTGTAAATGTAATTCAACATCTAATCTTTTCAATTTTTAAATCTTCTTCTGTAAAATGAGTTAAATTAAGGTTTCAAGAGTTAAAATAAGGTTTCAAGGGTCTTTTAAAATCCTGAGTATGTGAGGAATTCATGATCTGTTCTGATCTTCTTTGACCTTCATTACCAAATGAGAAATAATAAAGCTTCATGATTTTCATTTTTAGAAACAGATTTATCTACATCATACTGGTTACACTACAACAATAAAATTTGTGTTATATAGATGCGCAGTTTTATGCATTTAGGACTGGCTATAAAATCTAAATACAAAATGCTCACATAAAATGTTATTTATCTAGTGACTGCCCTGTTTTATTATGTGCCTCAGTGTTGAATTACTGCTATTTATTAACGCATTAATGCTATCATTTTATTGTTAATACTATTGGTATTCCATTTAAGAAAGCTAACGTTGACACTATGCTGACATCAGGGATAAAAAGTAGATAACATTTTAAAAGGCAACAACCCTCAAGTAGGCCAGTGCTTATTTAAACACATTGTAGGGAAGTGCCAGATGTTGAAGACGCAAAAGTAAGACCTTGAAATATGATCTTCCCCCAAATAACTTTAAGGTTTAACTTCAAGAGGGGACAAAAACACTAGCAATTCTAGCATTTGAATTACTATAGAAAGGAACAAAGAAAACCATGGTAAAGAGAGATGAAAGAGACAGTTGCATTGGATCAAAATTTTTTTCTCCTCTGTCCTGGGTCTAAGGTTCTTTTTGAGCATTTTAAAGTTTTCTTCTCTGTGGCACATACACAGAGAAGTACTTCATACAAGTTTAAGATCCTTATTGTGGCATTGTGAGTGTAAGCAGTTTAGTGCTTTAAAATGGGAAAAGAGAGCCGGGCTCAGGGGCTCAGCCTGTAATCCCATGCCTTGGGAGGCTGAGGTGAGTGGATTGCCTGAGTCCGCGGGCTGGAGACCCGCCTGGGCAACTTGGCGAGACCTCATCTCTATAATAAGTCAAAAATTAGCTGGGCATGGTAGCGCACGCCTGTAGTTCCAGCTACATGGAAGGTTGAGGTGGAAAGATCGCCAGAGCCCAGCAGGTCAAGGCTGCGGTGACCTGGAGCGGCCACTGCACTCCAGTCTGGGTGATAGAGTGAGACTCCAAATCAAAATAAATAAATAAATAAAATAAAATGGGAAAAGAGTGAAAGGGAAAGGAAATACATCAAGTATAGTGGTTTAGTGTAAACTATGCTTACTATCACAAGCCTCAAGAGACTGATATACTTGTAAAGCCTTTATAAAGTATTCCAGGCCATTAGCTGAAGCACTAAAGAATATCAAAGCAGGAAATGCCTAGCTTTTTGAAAGGAAGCTTTGAGTTTGAAGTACAGGTGTGTCTCTGTTAAAATTGCTAGTCAACGAAGGATTCTCTTGACTCCGGTATTATTGGTAAGTTTAGGTCAGTTTGTAGAGAAATCTCCTGGTGTACTAATTTTATTTTCATTTTAAAAACAGTTGAGTCAGCATATCATACTTTCTAAGAGCTCCTGAGACAGCAGTCTTCCACTGCTAAATAAACTGTATAAATAAAACCTTGGAAATCTATGAAAAATGTGGATTCTTATATATCATCCCAAAGATTCTGATCCAATATTCCAAACCTAACACCACCACACCCCATGCTAAGAAGGGGTGAAGGGTATCATTCCTGTGTAGCCTAGAAAAGTAAAAGATTACAATTTAAAAGTCTAAAATATCATAAAGAATATGAATAAGGTAAATGCAAAAGTGTTTATCCCAGCCACCGAATAGAATGGAAAGCCTATTTTGAACATTTTATCCGTAATATATGATAAATGTATATTTTGTATATGTGTGTATACACACGTATATATGCAGGTACACATCTGCATGTGCATTCTTATTCAGTCCTCATGCTGACTTCAAATGTTATTATTTTCTGATTTATCTTATGAAGCATTGGTGCTAAAAGAAGTCATTTGTCTGGGATCATATAGTGGCAGCATCAAACTTCTAACTCAGGAATATCTGGTTACAAATTCTGTGTTCACCATCACTCACCTACTGGTAATGTTGTTAGATTTATTACACATAGAGAATGTGTTGTCAGAAAAAAGAAACAGATTTATAAAACTTTTAAAATACTTGATGAGCAACAGAAAGTAAAATAAGCCAAACTCTTCAAAGACTGTATAAGGAGAATACTGTACATCTTGAGGCTGCTGTTGATTGGGACTAGATCACCACCTGCCAGGATATTAGCCCTAGCTTGAAATGACAATTCTTTTGTTCTCACAATTTTGGGGAGCAAATTTTGTAACTTCCCATTACTTTGCTTTAAGATTAGTAACTATAAATTTATAAGCTACATTCTATCATCTGTTTTAACCTAATTTAAAGATCAAGTTTGATTAATTTTATTAGCAATCAAATAATAGAGTGGTAAAATCAGTGGCTGGAATGAATACAGATATTTTAGCTAATTATTAAAACAAATATTTTAAAATAAAATGAGATTACACTAAAATAATATTGTGATAAGTATAATCACGAAACTCTCTAAGTCACTGCAGCTTTTTCAAGTAGCTTAATATTTTATAACTATCTGCCTACAGATATGCTCAGAAACAATTTGAATTCATGCATATTATAAGTGATAAGCTAAAAAACCAAATTTCAGTGCCCATAATCTATATTTCTCTTAAAAACTTTTCACAAAGTGAGATGGTTTGGTTATAATCTCAGAAAAAAAATATTTTTGGTAACCATGTCTTTTAATTGAAACACTTAATAAATCATTTGGAGTTACTTTAACAAAATTCTGGTCCCCAGTAGAAATCATAACAAATGTATTCGGAATAAAAAAATCATGTTTTTATTAAAATAAACTTAACCAAAATACATTTTAGGAAGTAGTAGTATGTGTCTTTGAAATGCTATTACAAGATAGAGAGCTAACCTTATAGATTCCCAGTCTCATTAATATATTTTAGGCAATGTTGATAAACCTTGACCATCTCACTTCTCCAGATTTCGTTTTTTAAGAAAATTTCAAAGTTCAGAGATATAAAAAAGTTGATTATGTCAATGCTATTTTTTTCTTACAATAATAAAATATCTTATTCTTCAAGAAAATTTCCTGTCAATGTAAGGGATTAATTGAATCTAATTTCTAGCTTTTAATATTACATTTTTTTAAAAAGATGTAAAAGTTTATTTAGTTGTGATTATAACTGCTTTACAGAAGGATTACTTTATGATCCTGACTCCTGGCATATGCTTACATTAAGCCACTGATGTCAGCAACAGAACAAATAAAACACAGCTAATAATTTGTTTTGTGTGTTATTTTAATCAATACTCCCTCTGCTGGTTTAATAGGAAGATAGCCCCAAGGACAGCTTCTGTTACCAGATGTTTATAGAATGTTTTTTTGCTATTAGAGAAACATTCAAAGTGAGAAGTCAAGGCAAGTTAATTTATTAGGCTTATTTGTATAGCAATTCTATTTTAATTTACACTAATTTAGGTAGGATTGAAGAAGGAAAATTTAAGTGGGAAAAATTTAAATAGGAAAAATAGATACTGGAGGTATTCCCTCCTCTTTTAGTGAGATAATTTCATAAAAGCATTATATGTTGGTGGTAGTTTTATGTTTCCATTCTTTCATTTTGATTTGATTATTTTCCATAAAATCTGAAAATGTGGTCTTCTGTCACCTCAACAACTGAATAAAGAATGCAGTCTAATGTCAAATGTGATGCAAATTCGTAACCATCTTGTTCCTTTCTCTTTCTCTGCAGGCACTCCATCTGCACTGTGTACATTGAAGTGCTTCCGCCAAATAATCAAAGCCCTCCTCGCTTCCCACAGCTGATGTACAGCCTTGAAATCAGTGAAGCCATGAGGATTGGTGCTGTTTTATTAAATCTACAGGTATGCTTCTTAGAGTGTGTATATGTGTGTGGGTGTGTGACTATATATAGTCACAAGCTTGACATCTGATGAGTTTATATTTGTATACAGAGTGCTTACTTATACTTTAGTGAATGAAGATTCCATCTGGGAAAAAAAGCAAGGGTAATATGGATGGAGGGTTTCCACAGCTAATCTATTCCATTGATTGCCATGACTGAAGAACTAATGTTTGGCTGAAAGGGATTAGCTGCAATCATTACTAGAGAGAATGAAGGGAATAGAAACATGTACTTGAATATTTTGTACTCTGCATCCAAAGAGTCTGCAGCTGAGTATTATTTTCTCTCTTGAATGCCTTTACCCCGGCTGGATTTATTTTTGCTGCTGTGTTGTACAAACTCAAATCCCATTAGACTCAAAAGTTGATGGTAGGAATTCTAATTCTGAAGCAGACTTTATTTATTTATTTATTTATTTTTTATGTTTTTTTTTTTTTTTTTTTTTTG